TAATTAGGATTTTATTTCAAATCAGTCAATCAGATAAAAATCACAATCAGACAATCAATAATGAAAAAGTAATTAAACATAATAATTTAAATCATACAGGAGAACAATATACAATTGAAGCAGTATAGAAAAATAAATAGACATACAGACAGTGATGATGCACATCAGCTTGACTGATTTTTGTCAGTTTTGGCCAGTTTTACACATATCCCTGCAAAAAAATACTTTAGGAAGCCTCTGTTGGCTAGAAAAATAAAAAAATCGTACTTACCAGCTGAGGATGGGTGTCTCTAGGTGCGGCGGCTTCGCTAGTTTTCCTTCGCAGTTGGGTTTCTTTTTCGACTAACCTGCATAGAAAGGAACTATGAACACAATAGTCAAAGAATCATATGAAACGGAAAACGGGAAGGGAATCATCAGAGAGGGTTTACAATTTTGGTCGTGGCGACTCTGCTGGGCTTTATTACTCGCCGTCCCTTTTACTCCGATATGGTTACAGGGAGGCTCGGAATTGAATTCCGAGCAGCGAGAAATTTTTTTTACCTTTTTTGACGGTCGACAGTGGTTCCGGTGCAGCAGTGGCCATTGGTCGATCTCCTTATCCAAAGTCTGATTCTTCTTATTCGACGAGGGCATGTGCGGCTAGGGTTAAGGTTCCATAGAACGTGATGTTTAAATGCTCATCTCGTGTTGATCTGGACCGTCCGTTTGAGAATACGTAGTTCTCTCTCGTCCGTTAGATCTATCTTATTCAGAAAATGAATCTCGATCGCACGATCGAATTGAATATGACCGTTCGATTGCACCTAAAGAAAAAACGTATCTGGTCCGTTCACGTGCGCGGGATGAGATCCGGACCGTCGAATCGTCGGGCACATGGATCACTCGCATGGCTTCCTATGTGGTGCCGATGTCAGCAAGGTTGCCCATGCGGCGTGCTCTAGTTTGCTGACGCTGCTGACAAGGGCCGTCTCACTTGACCAAATTTTCTTATTACGTTTTAATCTCCTGTTTTCAAAATTTTTTTAAAAAATACATTTTGAATTCAAAATTTTATCATTTTTTCTCAAAATTAATTTCAGTTTCGTCCTTAATTCTTTTTTTTTAAATTCAACAAAATTAAAGTAAAACAAATTTAATTAATTATTTTTATAAATAAATAAAATAAAAAAAATTATTCTAAATTAATTTTCGATCTCGAATATTACAGATAGAATGAACGGTAGATATTAGGATAGGGATTTTCAACGGGTAGGATTTGAGGTTGGTTGGCTATAAAAGGGGGATTCTGGATTAAAAAAAAAAAGGAAAAAGAAAAGGCAAAAGGGTAAAATAGAAAGAGGAAGAGGAGAGAGTCCGAGAAGACAGAGGGAGAGGGAAGGAGACAAACTGGTGTGAAATCGTTGGGAGAGTTCGAGGAAGAGGAAGATTTGAGTGAACGGTTGCTGAAGAATAGGAAATGAAGGCCAAATCCCTACTTTTTTGGCCTTCAGTGTCGAATGAGTCCTATCATCAGGAGAGAGTCGTGTGAGGGACACGGAACTGAACTAGAGACACCAGGCTGATATCGATTGGGAGTAGGATTAGTTAGGCAGGAAGGTAGGAGATGACCAATCGGATGAATGTGGGTGAGGAGCTGGAGGTGAGTGCGCACCAGGTAGGCTAGGACGAAGTCACGGAAATTGAAGAGAAAAGTGAGGCTGTGTGGTAGGAGGGCAACGACTGTCGGTGTATGTGTTCCGGAGGGGTCAAAGTCGGTGAGAAGTTAGTGTGTGCGTGGCCTTCACAGGTCGGTGTGGGTAATTGTATGGCGTGCTTATGTACGTGTGTGGCTTTTACAGGCGGTGTATATCGTTCGGGGTGGTCTCCACAGACCGTGATGATAGATTACTATGTGGTATGCCTTGTGTGTGTGGCCGGCCCTCACAGGTCAGGTTTTCTTGCAGGTTCGGTGTGGATTGGGGAAAGGCCTCACCGGTCGGGTGTATGTACGGCCTTCACAGGCCGTTATTTCCAGTGTTGAAACGAATGTTGAACTGGTTGTTGTGTGTGGGTGGCCTCTCCATGCCGGAACGGCAGTGTGGCCTTCACAGGCCGTTATTTCAAGTTCTGAAAGGAACGGTGGACTCGTTGACGTTGCGGG